TTCAGGGGAAGATGGAGAAGTTGCTGGAAGGAGCCCCTCTGCACTATGACAGCTACCCCTTGTGGGACACCCCTTCAGAAAACCTGGAGGTCATCTCTGATGAAAATGTGCTTGAACTCCATCAGACCCCAGAAGCGCGTACAGCCAAAGTCACGAGCATGCACGTCGTAGAAGAATGCAGAGAAGAAACCAAATGCTGTGAGCAGGGAAGCGCGCGGCTCCTGGCTCGGATAAAAGCACACGAGGTTGCCTGGTTCCATGGGACAACTCAGACACATCAAGAGAAGCCCAGTGTGCTGAACCAAGTCACCCTGGAGGAGAGTGCTGCTCTCCTGGGCCTCCAAGACAACCAGCTTCACCATCAGGTCACAATCGCAGAGTTAGGACTGGAGAAGCAAAAGCTACAGGAGCTGACTAGAAAGTTGAGGGAGCAAGTCAGTACATTAATTAAGCAAAAAGACACGCCTTCTCAAGGAGAGAGGGAAGAGGAGCTGAAGGCAATGATGCATGACTTGCAGATCACGTGCAGTGAGATGCAGCGGAAAGTTGAGCTTCTGAGGTAATGTATGCGCCTTCTAGACCTCACAGAAGCCTGCAGAGCACCTGGGCAAATCTAACTGCCGCCTCTTGCTGTGCCTAGAGACACTAACCCGTTAGTCTCAAGAAGAGCAATGTTCTGGCCTTCTTCCGCTTCTGTGTGCATTAACACCTAGCGTAACCTTGTCTCGGAGGCATCCGCTTCCACATAGTAAATCCATGTTGTCCCTCTGGAGCGTGGGAACTCAACATGGCGAGTGTCTGCTATTTAACCACGTGCGTCACGGGTGTCCGTCCTTAGCCCTGTCCTAGCACTGACCTTTGGATCGACAGATACCGTTAGTTCCTGTCCTCATCTCGATGAAGCATGGTGTATGTGTAGTATTAACTCACTTGGTAGCTAGCAATGCTCTTCTTACACTAATATAGGAAATGTGTTGACTGGACTATACTTTTTTCCTTCCGTACTTGAAGTGTATGCTAATATCCTGCAAATAGTACATTTTTATTTTAGAACACATCACTTTACCAGGGTATTACTGGAATCTAGTAAATATTCTTGAGGGACAAAGACAAGCAAAGATAAAGTTGCTTTGAACAGCTATCGACCTGACTTTATGAAATACGATCGCACTTTGGTATTCTAGCATTGCTGGGTTTTCCTTTCACTGTAAACTATCACATTGTATCTGAAGTATTTTAATGGTATAAAACAAAAAATAATCCAGTTGTGAATGTTCTTTCCTTTTCCTCACATTTCTTGTACTTCAGAGCCTAAAATACAGTGAGAAGAAGAATAAACCGTATATTTTGTGTGCCCCTTGGTTTATGTAGGACGTTTTCTTTCTTAAGGTCTCTGGGGCCTAAACTAAAGCTCACACAGCTTGGTAATGTGGCTTTTGTCTGTTCAGAGCAGGGAGACTTGAGGCTGAGGTAAATGAAGCCAGCTGTTCAAAGCAGCCTGCCCGCCACTGAGAAGACAACACCCAACATTGGCTCTGAGTCATGATGCCCGTCTCCAGGCTCAGGGGCTTCCAGCCACACTTCCCTCCCCACTTCACCCCCCACCATGTCTTTTAGCGAGATTCTTTCATCCCAAAAGTAGTGACTCAATATGTTACAATTTGATTTCCAAGTACCAAGAGCCGACTAATTTAGACTTCTACTTTAACTGGCATGAAAAGCTTCCTTTATTGGAAGTTACTAGAAAATATTTCCCAAAGATGCCAGATGACGGCCATGCCGTAACATTCTTTCTCCTCTCCACACTTCAGATACGAGTCTGAAAAGCTACAGGAGGAAAATTCTATTTTGAGAAACGAGATTACTACTTTAAATGAAGAAGACACCATCTCTAACGAGAAATCAGAGGCATTCAGTGGATCTCAGGAGGAACTGTGGTAAGGCGTAGAGACCGTCCTTGAGTTTTCCAAGGACTGAGAACTGTTGACCTTCAGTGTTAAAAGCTTCACTCCTGAGTCGTGTTCTCATTGCCCCTGTAGGCAGAAAATAGAAACTGTAGAACAGGAAAAAGCTTCGATTCAGAAGATGGTAGAAAAATTAAAGAAACAGGTAAGGAAACACTTCAAATTTCCCAGTGATCTTGACTCTGAAATTTCCTTTTTGTTTTAAATTTAAAATTTACAAAATAAACAAATAGATTAGTAGAATAATATATTATGTGTGATGGTGAGGTTGGCGGGGGAAACTCACCTCCGGGTGGCTCTAAACTAGGCTGCTGCCTTTGGAAAGTCATGTGCAGTCTATGTGCAGACCCAAGTACTAAATGCAAGCTTTATATCTAACACACATGGGAAGGTAGTGCCTTTAACCCGCGAATACTGGTTTTAGTCTTTATTAATTTTGATTAATGTCAGCTCCTTCATTTTTCCGATTAAAAGCAGAAAGTTTCAGACAGAATTTCACGGATATAGAATGCCAGCAAATCTGCATATCATTTTACAGACTTATAGCTCGTTCAGATGGCTTATGCCATTCAATGCTCGTTTGGTATAATCTTACAACATGTACTCCAGTATGGGAGGCCTATTTAAGAACACAGTCTGAAATAGTCACAAGACAAGGACATACTTGGGAAAGGAATATTTTAGTATCTGAAATAGCCAAGGTAACATCTAAAAATATATCTTGTACTATTTCAAATAAATGGTAGAGCTCAGTTGAAAAATAGGCTATAGATATAAAGGATCAATTCATAGAAAGATGTAAAAAATCGTACAGGTTGGCCAGCTTCAGAAATTTAGATTGTTTTTTTCACCTTCTAAACTAACAAAAGCTAAACATTGATATCATCCAAGAGTATGAGAAAATAAAAGCTACATGGTTAAGAGTAAGCTGATATCACTGGTAGGAAGACTTTTGGGGTCTTCTGTCAAGGCATTAATGTATGTGCTTTCTTTCTAACCCAGCAAGGCCATTTCTAAACAAACAAAATAAAACAAGCCCAGAAAATGTCACCATTTTGTTGTTACTAATAAAAAGAAATGATAATGGCAAACATATCTGTATCTATTTATCTATCTATCTGTCTGTCTATCTATCTATCTCTATCTGTCTATCTATCATCTATCTATCATCTATCTATACAGGAATGGATAATGACAATATGGAAGATATTTTTGCATAAAATATTCTGCATTCATTAAAGTATATAGCATATGGTGGTATCTAGATACACTAAGTTGGAAAGATAACATCTATACGATATCATAAGTGGAAAAAGCTGGCTGTTCAAACTTGCAATGATTCTTTTTATCTTTATTTTTATTTTTTGGCTAAAAGTAAGGTGGTATTGTGGGTATATAGAAAATGACCTAGTGTCATGTGTATCTAAGTATCAAGAATTGGGAATCTTGTGACCTGAAATTAACCTATGTCTAACTTTTTCATATACTTCTGAATACATTGAATTTGTAATAATGAGCATATATTATTTTTGTTATCATGTGTGGTTAAGAAAGCACACAAAGGAAAATTAAACGTATTACAAGAAAGACATACAGTAGGCCCATTCCCCCAGCAGCAGTTCTCAACCTGGGGGTCTCCACCACTTTTGGGGGAGGGGGGGTCCAATGACCCTTTCACATAGATTGCCTAAGACCATTGGAAAGCACAGATATTTACATTATGAATCATAACAATAGCAAAATTACAGTTATCAAGTAGCAAGGCAAATAATTTTATGGTTGAAGTCGCTACAACGTGAGGAACTGTGTTAACGGGTCGCAGCATTAGGAAGGTGGAGAACCACAGGCAGAGCAGCCAGGGCAAGAAGCAGGGCTGTTGTCCTGTGGCAAACAGCCTTGTATAGAGATCTTTTTAAGCTTTACATTGCGGAGAAGAAAAGTCTCTTTTATAGCAAAAGTAGGGCAGCATTTAAAAAAAAAAAAAACTTATTTCAATTTTAATTAGGTTTCAGATTTAAAAATCAAAAACCAACAGTTGGATTCAGAAAATATAGAACTCAGCCAAAAGAACTCCCAAAACAAGGAAGAGCTGCAAAAACTCAATCAACGTCTGGCAGAAATGCTATGCCAGAAGGAAGAGTCGGGAGCTTGCTCCTCGGAGAGATGGGAACAAGAAAGCGCGGGTCTGAGAGACGAGCTGGACCGCTACAAAGTGCAGGTAGGGGCTCCAGCCACACGCAGCTTCGCTTGCTCAGGCCAGAGAAATAAAAGACAGCTTTTACACATAAGACCTAACGATTAAATCAGTATGGTACTGGCACATTAATATGCACTCCAGATAAATCAGGTATATGCGGGGCTAGAACGTCCCCCGACAAATGAAAAGTGAGTTCTGGGAAGCATCTGTAAGCTAGGAACAACACATGTGTGAATTTGTCGCAGCTGTGATCAAAAAGATTATTTTTTTAAAAAACGATAGACTTTGTGCCAGCTCTGCACAGATTTCCCTTTCATTGTTGTTCTTCCGCAAAGAACACAGGTAACAAATATTTACTTAGGTTTACATTGTACTACTGGAGATGAGCTGAGTCTACAAGCAAACGTAAACAAGGGGTTCTGTGCAAGTACTGTAAATTCTGAGCCAATCTGTAAAGGACTCTGAGCCCTGAGGATTTGCCAGCAGAGCGGGGGCACCCCTTGGTCTGATCCCCCATAGATATCAAGAGTAAGTATGTAATTAAAGAGTTTTATCAAACCACTGGGGTCAAGATGGAGGGGTTTTTTTGTTTGTTTGTTTTAAAGCACCTGAACAAATTGGGTAGATATTTAGGAATAGATTCAGACTTCCTAGAGATAAACCCCAAAGGAAGTAGAGCATAACATGTAATAGATAAAACCATCCGAACACCAGGAAAAACTCATGGGTGAAGTTGTCTTTAACCACAGAAAGAAGAGATGCTGTCTCTCAGTAAAGAAAAGGGACAGGCCTGGAGAGCTGGTCGGTGGTTACGAGCACTTCTGCTCCTTCAGAGGATCTTTGTTTCTCAGAAGGCCTGTGGCAACTCATAGACCGTCTATAACTCCAGTTCTAGCGAATCTTCTGACCCTCCTCAATGGCTCCTGCACGCTTGGGGTGCACACACATATGCACACAAGACATATAAATTTAAAATAATTTTTAAAGAAGAAAAAATATAAGGACATGAGAAAAATCTGATAGCAAATTGGAGAAGAAAAACAGAAACAAAGTTTTTTTTAAAGATTAAAATGACCTTCAAAGTTCCAAAAAGATATTCAAAATCACTCGTAATTAGAGAAATGTACAATAAACAGTACTGGCATGTAATTCCTCACTTGAAAGATCAGTATCTATTTAAAAATACGGCAGCATGTTCTCTTGGCAAGACCATGCTGGCAGACATTTCCATATATTGTGGTAGTCATGCACTGTTACCATCCGCGTGGAGACAGGTTTGGCACTACCCACCACTTACCTTTTGTCCAACAATCTCACTTCTGGTAATTTAGCCTCGAAGTATCTCTGTAGCAATATGAGAAATCATACACATGTGGCTATTTATTCCAGCTTCGTTCATATCTGCAAAGTTATACAAGCAATCGCGATGTCCACGAACACAGCAGTGAATTAAGTGTTGAGGCTACATCCATATTTTGGGTAGTCTTATATAACATTAAAAAGTTAGGAACATAACCTGTGGTGGTGGCACACTCTTTTAATCCAAGCACTTAGGAGCCAGCAGGTGGATTTCTGTGAGTTGGGGGCCAGCCTGGTCTACACAGAGAAATCCTGCCTTGAAAAACAATAAGCAAACAAACAAGCAAATGAATAGATGGAGGAATATAAAATGAATGAGAACAATAATTCATATGAATGATTGAAATGAGTACCAGGATATGATGTTAACTGAGTGATGGGGCCACAAACAGTCCCAACAGTGCGCTTCCGTGCTTGTATGGAAAAAAAGGGAGACATTAGAAAAGAAACACATGTCTGCCCATTTATGCAGAGCAAATATAAGAATGATAAACCAGGCACTAAAGAGATGGTTGCAGAGTTGGGTGGGAAAGGCCTGGTCAGTGAAATGGGAAGAGAATGATGCTCTGTTGAAGTCGTCTCTGTACAAAGCTCTGGCTCATGTGTTTCATGTGTTCTTTTGTTTTGTTTCGTTTTTCTCCCAGTTCCTGGAATTTAACCTAGAGTTTTGAGACTGCTAGGCAAATGCTCTGCTACTGAGCTACATCCCAGCCCTGTTTCACACACTCTTTACATATCCATATAAGTAAAATCAGTCACGATGGGTCTGGGGATACAAAAATCGAACACAGACACTAACTAGTAGAACTGATACTATGGATACTATGACCACAGTTGGGAGGGAAAGAAAGAATTAACAGTCTATAAATGTTTGAATAATTTAGTCAGAAGTTGTGATTCTTGTGGGCATAGAAGGTTATTTTGTGTATGCTTGAAGTGAATGAAAGTGGCTATAGCATAGACCAAAGATGAGAACTATGTTTCCCACTGTTGGAGAAGAAAGTTGCAGTGTCAGAATGTGAAGGGCTACGGTGAACCATCTGATGTTGGTATACACAGTATATATACAGAGAGATAGAGAAAGAAACATAGATGTGTTTTTGTATGGGATAACTAAATCTTGATTTCTAAATACCATTTTCCTATAAAAGCATCTTGGAAAAAATGAATGATTCTGAGATCAGAACAGAAAAGTTGTAAGTTGAATTGAAATGTCCTATGGTCCCAAACAGGAAAAAAAGTGCTAAAAATAAAAAAATGGTGACTGGAGAGATGGTTCGGTGGTTAAGAGCATTCAGAGGACCTGAGTTCAATTCCCAACACCCACATTGTAGCTCACAATTGCCTGTAACTCCAGCTCCAGGGGATCCGATACCCTCACACAGACAAACTTGCAGGCAAAATATCAATGCACCTAAGATAAACTAAAAATAATAGATCGTTTTTTAAAAAATTAAAAATAGGGCAAATTTAAAAGACTTGGGCCGCCACCTAAAGGAACTCCTAATAAACAGTTTGATCAGTGAGATACAGTATAGAATGAAATAATTATAAAATAAGTATAATAGGTATCTGAGTATGTCGGGTCCATCCTTGATGGTTCATACTTTCCAGTGTAGCTGCTTGTGGCTTAGAAATGCTAGGCAGAATAAACAGAGATACAAAAGAAACCCAGAGACAGAGGATAGTACCGGGAGGACAACTCTTTTCCTTACACATATATACCCCATTACAAAAAGGAGGGAAGAAGGCAAAAGATTGCTTTAACATGACAGAAAGGACAACCAGAACAATTACTTACGTCAATACTTGGAGACATCAAGTCACTATTTCCTGAGTTAAGCATTCTGATGTTTTGGGCAAAATATGCAGCAAATACACCCTACACCACTATCCTGTAGGCAACCATTCCTTGGGTCAAACCTCCTGTTTTAAAAAGAAGGTGCAGGAATAGACTTGAATTCTCTGACCTTTGGTCACGGTGGAGCAGATTCACCTCTGTGGACTGTCTTAATGTCCAAAACACCAAGTAACCACACCCTAGGTCAGGATATCTTGTTTGTAGCTGCACCTGTCATCAACAACTTTAGAAGAGCAAAAACAAGCTCAAACTCTCTGTTCTTTAGTCAAGGTGGAACAGGACTCATATCTATGGGCCCCCACATAGTCCTCCCTTTTTATTTTATTTAATAAAGTCTGAGCTTCTGCTACAGGACAGAGAACTGTGCCTGGCTTGGAGGCCCTTTTTCCATTTCCCATCATTGGTACATACATTCCATTATGTAGTCCTGTCTTAGAATGTTTTTTTGGGGGGGGGGGGGGGGCCAATCTTACCTGTCTTTGACTACTGGCCTCTGTAAATAAAGGGTTAAGGGAGAATGCATCTCTAGGTGCTGTATCCCTCTGAGCTAACTTTCTGTCAAGAGAGTTCACCAACACCTAGATAATCATATGCAATGCAAGCAGATAATGCTAGGTGATATACATGGTCCTATGGCCGCAATATCTCCTGACAGAGGAGAGGAGGATGACCAGAGGTGGGATTGCTTCTTCAAACTGGTCTTTAACAGTTTTCAGTTGCAATCAAAATCCAAATTTGTCTTATGAAACATATCAAATCTAAGGACTCATTTGCAGTGTCAAAATTCTCTCAGACCAGCTCTAACCTTTCTCTAATCAGTGACATCTTTATAATGAACTAAAGCAGTTATAAACATTAGCAGGTCGATACCATAATTTTAGCATATAAATTCACAATAAACACACAATTTGTCAAATCACAATTCTCTTAAATCCAGTCTAATCAAATGACAAGAAGAGGGTTCTGTGAGGAGTGAGCTGTGAATCTTTTTCCTCTCCCATAGCCCAATTGTATTGTTGCTTCTAATTTTCAAAGATAAGTCTGAACTGTCCCAGTCTCTGAGCACCTACAAAAACTTATAGGTTTTTTCTCCTCATTTCCAAAGAGGGACTTCAAGTACTCTTTGCCTCCATAATAGTATTCCCTTGCTTTAACAAGTCTCTTTCTCCCAGAGGAGAAATTTTCTGAGGTCTCTGTTCTCAGGCCCTTTATTTCAACAGCAGATTTAACATCATACTGGCAAAAATGAGTTCTGTATCTTAAGATACAGTATGGATAAACTGCCAAACATTCAGTTAGCATTCTTGGGCTGGCTCCAAAGTAAGACATGAGTACATATTAGCATTGATTGAATAAACAAACAGGGGAGAAGCAACTGCTCTTTCTTATAGTATTCTAAAAAAAAAATGCAGAAATAAAGGAAGAAAACAGGAAGTCATCCTTGGGAAAACCCCAAGTGATAATTATTGCAGGCTGAATGTACTGGTAGATACTGAAATGAATAACCAGAAATCCAAGGTTGAAGTTTCCCCAGCCAATGAATATATCTATTATATGCCTGATATTTTTCTTAGACTTCCACTTTAGTGGCTTCTCTGGAGGCAGAGCTTTCTGAAGTTAAACTGCAGACTCACATTGTGGAACAGGAAAACCTCCTTCTCAAAGATGAACTGGAGCAACTGAAGCAGGTAGGCATGTGCTTCCCGAGTAGAGTGAGGAATGGCATGTACTTGATAGTGTGGTGTCTCCAGCCACCAAAGGCCCTTTGCACCGTGGTTGCTCAACCAGCTTACTGCTTCAAGCTGAGGACTAAAGTGCAAGCGTGTTTATAAGGACTCCGGTTGCTAATTCGCTAGTGAAATAACGCATTTACATGGTAGGCTCTAAAATTCTGTTACTATAAATCCCAACTATTTCAGTTTCAAAATTTTGTTGCTTTTATTTTCTCCCAGACAGATGAAAAAGTAACGTTAGTTTGTCTTATAAGACAGGGACTTTATGACTGATGACTTCCAAAACTCTTCTTTGATTTCTGAAGACCCAAAGGAAGCTGGTCCTACCCGTGTCCTTTCCTTGTGGCAGGCGTGAGTTGCCTGGCTAGGAGGATGAGATCTCCTGTATTCTCAGAGTACGCTCTCTCCCACTTAAAGTTTGACTTGTAGAGTTCGGTTTGATGTTGCCTGCTCATAATCCCAGTACTCAGGAAACTGAGGCAGGAGGATTGTGAATTCAAGATCAGTACAGGCTACATGGCAAGGCCCTGTCTCAAAAAATTATTGTGGTTTTAGAAAGTTATTTCAGAGTTTCAAACAAAGACTTAATTTTAAATATAGAAAAGGGCATGCCTCAAAAAATCTGCAGGTGAAATATTGTCCAATTTTCTTTATTTTTATTATATCTAAGAATGTTTTCATTGTACGAATCTTACTTTATATTAGAATTTAGTTCTGTTTATTTGCCCCACCCTCAGGTTACTTTAATATTTTTACCATCAGATTATAAAATGCAGCTTCCTACATCTGTTCACTCTGTAAGCATAGTGTCCTTCCCCAAATGCCATAACAGTCTTAACCAGGTTCACACTCCACCTGTACCGTGTGTGTTGTTTGAGCCGATTGCTAATTGACTCCCTTACCTAGTAACAGAGTAAGACCCTTAGAGCACTGGTGTCTTTGGTAACACTCCACAGAACCAGCACCAAACAAGTGTCTTAGAAGAATCTTTCTATGCCAGGTACAGTAGTGCAGAATCTGTCTTTCCCACCACAAGTAGAAACTCCACTTATTGCCTATAAACATGCTGGAAGCTAAGGTTCACAGTCTTTCTGTGGGGTGAGAGTATCCCAGAGCCATTGCTACCAGGTTTGTTAGAATTAACACCAGTACCCCTTCTCCCTTGTACCTTTGAAAGCATCGCTGGCTCACCCTTTCAGTGATAATGACCAACCCGTGTGCATGCCGTGTGTGATATATGCCAACCAATGCATGCGCATACCGTGTGGTATGTATGGCAAACAATGCATTGCATACTGTGTGAGAGGTATGCCAACCAATGCATTGCATACTGTGTGGGAGGTATGCCAACCAATCCATGTGCATACCATGTGGGATGTATGCCAACCAATGCATGTGCATACCATGTGGGATGTATGCCAACCAATACATGTACATACCATGTGGGAGGTATGCCAACCAATGCATTGCATACTGTGTGGGAGGTATTCCAACCAATACATTGCATACTGTGTGGGATGTATGCCAACCAATCCATGTGCATACCATGTGGGATGCATGCTGTATGGCCTTGCTGAGCTACATAGCACAAGAAAAGTAGCTGAGTTTGGAGAAAAACAACATGAGGAGGACATCACTTGGCACATTTTATTACACATCTTCCCCAGGGCATTGGTATAAATAGATGGGAAAACCATGAGTCCCTGTGTGCACGTGGTAGGAGGTCATTTTGTCATCAGGATTCTTGATTAAGGTGGTGTCAGCTTCCAGCCCATCCTTGCTGCCTGCAGTTGGACCCGGAAAGCATGTGCCACTCCGTGTGGCATCATGACTTAGAGCTCTGGAAGCACTTTTACACAGATTACGTATCACCCCCAAAAGAAGCATATATAGGATCCAAGGACATCCCCTGCCAGTCTGTAGATACCCAGAGTGGTGTCAAGCATTGCAGGTGTTGGTGGGGTAAGGAGTCGGGTATTGGGGAGGGAGATGGCTCCATATTACATCAATGTACAGGTACATTAAAGGATGCTTTTTTATATCCTTCTAACTTGTTCAGGCTTATGAGGTATGTTGGATTTACTATCAGTTGAAGATAAGCTTCAAACTGTAAAATCTATTTTGTCATAACTATTTCCAGTATTATATGGGAGGCTTTCAGATAGAAAGATGGCTCTATCATAATGGTAATTAGAGAATAGAATGTGTGAAAGCCAAATAAACAAGAGGAATGCTCTGATTAAAAATGTATAAGGTATGGGAGAAGTAAAGGGGCATAGGAAACAATTGGCCTCCTAAGAGTGTTTCCCAACTAGGTTGGAGTGAGGCTCACTCCCCAACACCTTTTGGGGAGCAAAACCAGGGCATTTTGGTTTTCACAAGTTAGGGAATTAGTATTAATGAGTGTAGTGGATAAAGCCGGAGATGCTGTGAAACGCCCTACAATGGACAGAAAGACCCCTGCAGCACAGTATTTCGGCCCAGAGGGTCACTAGTACCAACTTGGATGCTGAAAGGAGCAAAAATAGCCTGGATTGCATCAGCTTCGTGGAGTAGAGAGAAGGAAGCCAGCATGTCCATTCTAATGGCATGCTACTGAGAAGTCATTAAGCTTCTCCCAGGACAAGGGTACATCCTTAGCTCATCCCCATGCTGATACTCTTGTGTGATAAATACAAACCCCCTAGTTTGTTTTTGTTTTTGAAACAAGATCTTGATGTGTAGCTCAGGCTTGCCTCAAACTTCCAATCTTCCGGCCTCAGCCTCCCACATGCTGAGGATTATAGGCATCCTACAACCATCTACTTCTGTTTTTCTCTTTTCTTTTCTTTTGGAGACAGGGTTTCATAAAGCCCTTGTTGGACTAAAAACAACTGTGTGTGTAGCCAGGACTGCCCTGGAGCTGCTGACCCTCCTGAGCAGGGGTTCTCAACTTGCAATACAGTTCCTCATGCTGTGGTGACCCCTGCCCATAAAGTTATTTCGTTGCTACCTCATATCTGTAATTTTGCTACTGTTATGAATAATAATATTTTTGGAGATAAAAGTTTGCCAAAGGAGTTTCAACACACGGGGTGAGAATCGCTACTCTGAATCCATCTCTACTTCCCAGTGCTGGGATTACCATGCTCAGCTAATTTCATGGTCCTGACTAAAATGGTTTCAAAAACATATTTTGAGTATCTTTTAAAAAGCATGATAAAAAGAAGTGTGTCGTGTTCCATGAACAAAACTTAAATGGATGGCAGGAGAGCAGGGTGTTACTTATCTGAGACAGTAAAGTTGAAACTTAGCACCGTTATTTAGCAGCACCGTCTGCATCTCTCTAAGCAGACACTTCAGTAGTCAGCAAGGGACCAGTGAGAAGCTAGCTGGGAACAGTTAG